TTTATTGAATCACAGAGAAAGAAAACTGCATTACGTGTTACATAAAGTGAAAAATTCACTGCATAGATGTGCTAAAAATGTTTCAAATCAAAACTGAAAACGACGACAGTTTCAAACTTACGATTGATAGCGCATAGCACAGCGATATGTCCCTTTTGTTGTTCATCTGTCAGCATTTTACTCGCAGCCTCGTCGACGTGCACACCGTTTTTTGTCATCCAACGTTCGTTTCCGATCATTACCCGATACGATTTCGTCGCAAATAAACTCTCATTCGTTGTCGCTGAAAAGCAAACGAATTCATCATCTCTACTCATATAAACGATTATTTCTTAATACTATTATTATTCAATTATTTTTGTCAAATTATTACAACTATTCATCATCGTGGCACATCAATAAAGCATAAGAACCGTTAAAATGTGTAAAAATGGGTAATGATCAACGCTGATGCACGTTTCAGTCTAGAATTCCCACCAGGCTTTTAACAGATCGACTAGAATCTGTTTTATGTGATCGGAAAAGACCCAATTAGATGAATTGCGTTAGGCAACGAACCGTCATCGGTAGTTCCTTGAACCACTTCAACGTCGTACGGTGCGATATAAACCGAAGAACCATGAATACGAAGTTTCTCAGTGAAATCTTGAACGTCTGCACGACAACTGGCCAGCATCTGATCGACGTTCGTCACCTCACACGATATGCCGTTGCCTGCTGACGCACGGAACTTATTCGTTCCAGCCCATTCGTCTGTTTGTAAATGCTAAAACTGACGACTACTGATGATAATTTGAGAGAAACTTTTCGTTTTAAATTAAACAACGAACATAAATCATTCGTTGACTGCGCGAACAACAATCGACACAATCATAAAACCCTAATAATTTCCTTTTCCAATTAATGTTTACTGCTCTTATTTCTGCCGAAGATAATGTTCCATTGGCGCATTATATTCGCTACTATCATGGAAAATTTCATAAATTCCATACGATGGTTTCTAAATGCCAACGACGATGTACGCGGTCATAGGTGACAGCAGAAAAATAAGTTCAGAGTGATAATGTGACCGTTACTGTGAAAAATGAGCGTAATATTGCCCGATAAATGATTTCAAATTTGACGACTGAACCACAAAACGAGACAAAACCTCTTTAACGAAGGTGGCGATCGCAGCGCCGAGTGGATGTTCACTGCTCGATTCGGCTGAACCAATAATGGCCAACATTCGCCTTAGTGGAAGAGTGGCTTGAGATACAAACGTGTGAATACGAATCAAACGAGGATGACCCTCTGTTATGGTACCTGTCTTATCGAATACGACCGTTTTTATCTGAAACACCCATCACCCACTCACATTTAACGACACGATCACGACTGCAACACACCGAAATGTACATGTAGCTTTTTTTAATCCTTGCATTCTCAGTTGAAGTAATGAAGTAATTCTCAGTAGTGTTATTCTCATACTAACACTGAGAATCCTGCTCCTCAAGAATTCCATGAATCAAGATTGTATTATTCTATCTGAATTTTGTTTAGTACTGGAATTTAGTAGATTTCAACAATGGATGATTGGACATTTTGATAGTCACTGAAGATGCTGAATATTCAGCGGAGAGTAATTCAGAAGGAAGTGCAAAACAAAACCTTATGAGCCATTTCCAGTGGTTCACCACCTTTGATAAGAATACCATTATGGGCACCAATACCCGTACCGACCATAACAGCCGTTGGAGTGGCTAGTCCCAACGCACAAGGACACGCTATTGCCAACACTGTTATTGCTGCTTCGAATGCTCGTTTCAGCGCTGATTCGATCCTTTCTGTTTCACTCTAAAAATACTCTATTTGCAATTAATTCATTTTCTAAGAGAACTCAACGATACAACTCCTCAAAATCTCATATATAAATCCTCAAATCAATCAATCATCACAATTTGATGGATGAATGTAAATTTTATGATAAGAATACATTAAATATTGGTAGTTATTGAAAAAAAATCGCTCACTTGAAATTGCTTATCAANATCAGTGTCACCACGGCAAGCCCAATTACGGTTGGCACAAAATATCCGGCGATACGATCCGCTGTTTGTTGAATGGGCGCCTGGAACCGAATTCCATGAGAAAGATTCAATCGACAAATTCGAAATAACGAACGATGTAAATCATACCACAAGACGAACAACGCCAACAACAGATCTCATTCAAAAGTGCTTTGAGAATTTATCACCGACAAAATAAATTCGCCATCAAGATCGCGTAATAAACGCTGAAACCGGTATAAAACGAGATGGAATTTACCTTCGACGTTTGTGCCTCCTCAACCAATCGAACAATCTGCGCCAACGTCGACTCTTGACCGACGTGAGTCGCTTCGATGATCAACGTACCCTTCTGATTCACCGAACCACCTATCACTGCACTCCCTGTAAAATTTGTTCGATTGCGAAACTCTTTTGTATCTTTCATAAACGCAAAAACGATTAACTTCTTTCATAAACGCATTCTACAATTTATATTAGATCATCAATTCGTTTTTTGCTAAATACCATTCCTATCGATTCTGATCCATCTATGTTTTACACTGTTATATGCCGTTTTGATTTTCTGATAAATTCTAGAAGAAGACAGAAGTTATGGTTTTCCAGACAATATTTGACATAATCAACCGAATTTCACCTCCAAAAATGATACCTTTTCTAGAACAAGATCAAGGAAAGGTAACATTTTTATCAAAGGTATCGAACTCCTCAAAAAACTCTACATATTATTTATGGATTGATTACCTTCTCTTTTAACCACCGGCATCGACTCTCCGGTGATGAAAGATTCATCAACCGAACTTTTACCATCAACCACAACGCCATCCACCGGGATTTTTGCACCGGGCAACACCTTGATCAAATCTCCACGTTGTACCTTTAAAAGCATGAAAGTATTTGAACTCGAACGAAGAGATGACCGAACAATTCACATTCGCAACGTGAAAAGAATGAAGCAGAGATGGAATGGAACGAGACGAAATAAAGAACTCAAATAAGAGGTGAGCAAGCACTGACCAATTCGATATCGATACCCTGTTCGGAAAGGATTCGACCTTCTTCATCACGTGTTATTAGTAGTGCTTCTTTTGCTTGTAGAGACATCAGTTTGCTTAACGCTTCCGAGGTTTTGCCCTTGGCTTTATGTTCGAGCCAACGACCCAACGAGATGAATACGATCAACATCGGTGGCACGTCAAAGAATGTCATCGGACTACTCGGCCAACTGAAAGCAATTCGCATAATCTCAATGATCGTACGATTTCGTTCGTTGTTCATTGGTGAATCGAACGCAAAATGAACCAACCTCAGAATAATGGCGACCGCTAATACGAGTATC